AACCTGAAGCAATGACTTGGTATTATTCCCCTGAAAGATTTCAAGGCTGTCTTCTCCACCTGCTCCATTTACAGGTTAGCTACAGTGGGAGATACTTGTGATCCCATAGCAAGTTCATGTTTCCGTCTGTAGAAGTTATCCATGTATCTAAAATAGTTAGTGTTGTAACAAAGGTCCAGCAAGAAATATACTTGGTATGGCTTGAATTCCTTTTGACTGTTAAGAGTCTTACATCTTTTCAATGCCATCTGACTTCCACAATTAATGCTATTTAAATGCCATTTTAAAATCTTTACCCCCAAAATTTGACAACAATTCACATTTTCAGGCGTGTAAACCGAAAGATTCACACCTATGCACACATCCTGATACCAAAGAATAATGATCTAACTAGCACAAGGTGTACGTTCTATTTGTCCTGGTGACCATTGCTACCAAGGCCAAAAACTATGGAACAAACAAAGCCGTCACCAGAACAAGAATAGAGGGAAATATTTCAATGGATATATCTGCTGTGGTGACAACTGTCTAAGAGGGGAATTTCCGTGACTTTGAAGAGATTTTCTCTCACCTTTTGCTGTGTATTGAGAACAGGAAGTGAAGACTTCCTAATTGAATATTGCTCACCCATAAATGGGGCAGTGGCATACATGTACACTAAAAAGAGGAGCTGGTGGGGATGTTTTCATTGGAAAAGCTGTGCGGCACAGGCAGAGATGCACAGTGATGATCACTGGAATGGGGAGAAAGGTATGTTTGTAACATGGCAGACTGCACTGGGGTTGGAAAATTAGTTTACTGTAAGTACAAGTTCATGCAGGTCCTTTAACTATACCTTATATGAGATTATAGTAATTGGGTTGACATCTACTTTAACCTATTGCCTACCACCATGCATTTTAAAGCAATGGGATGGTGGCCATGTTGTTCTGGAGAGCTGTTTTAAAATGGCGCAATGCTTACCCCGGAGCATGCACAATCCCTATGAATGCGTTGTCATTAGACCACGCAGATCACAGGTAAAATGCACAGAGCAACAGTGGATCTGTGTATTGTGATCACTGTAATAGCCAATGACAGCGATCTTGAACCTAAACACTGCCAGTGTTTACATTTGGGAGCCCTATGTAATAATAGTTGGAGAATAAAAGTGTCTGTTTTTTTTTTTAAAACAAACAATTAAAAGAAGACTAAAGCTGAACCTTTCACCTACATTCTACTCTCCAATACTTCCCCTTTAGAGGTTGAGCCCCTCCACATGTTTTGTTTTGGTGATAGGTGACGGGTTCTGGTTTTTTTATTGGTAGAGTAATGGGGTAAGGAGGGATGGATCTTTTAGAGAAAGTGGAAATCCTGATTGGTTGTATATATAATGTGTAGCTATTAACTAGGCAGCTCTCGGAGGAACGGGGCTCATAGGTATATGGTTCTTGTTTTAAAAGTATTTGAGAGAGTTCTGCATTTGCTTGCATTCAGAAATGGGGGTTCCAAGAGGCCTCCCTCAATGCTCGAATGTTGGAAATCTGGGCAGTGTTGGTATGTTTCCAGGAGTAAATTGTTGTGTGCCTTTGTACCCTGCTCAAAACGAAGGTTTATAAGCTTTATGTCACCTAATATCTAAAATGTATATAGCACATGGTTATAATGGTATTATACACTGGTAGTTATAGCACATGATAAATGCAGACACATATTAGGCTTCATTTAATAATGTGTCTGAAAGAAGAGCTGTGTGTTGCCATGGTCAGGCATTTACATTTCAGGTATCTTTTTCTCCAATACTGGTAATAAGCTAATTTATTAAAACTGGGATAAGAGAAGAAGCAAAAGTTCAGCTGATGCCCACAGCAACCAGTTCCATCTCTTTCCACTGAGATATTGTCTACTCCGCTTTTTCTAGGACAGATCGATCTTCTTGGCCCTTCCAGCTGGTCAGATTCTGCCTGTCATTGTCCTCTGGTCCACTAGACGTTGAGAAGGGCCTTTCAGATTTATGCAAGAACACAGCGCAAAGAGCTAGTGCCTAGTGCAAAGTGCAGATCTCATAGCCCCCCATCAGGATTTATTTTGTGTTCATCTCTTTCCATTTCATTGGGTTATTGAACTCTGCTCCTTGCACTGTTTATTAAATAAGCTTGTTTGATAAATAAGGCCCAATGTCTTCATTGGCGGCAGCAGTTAAAGAGTTAACAGCAACCCATAGTGAAGTCATTAGCAAGGAAATTTGTAGTCATCTAAGCTTGTGTTCATGCAGGACCCCTTGTTAAATATGTCACCAGCACACCATATTGAAGTGAAGAACGTGTCTGTTTATTGACGCTTGATGTCAAAACAAATAACGTTTCAGAGCCACACAGGGTCCCCTTCATCAGGCTCTCGTGTCAAGCCTGATGAAGGGGACCCTGTGTGGCCCCGAAACTTTGTTATTTGTTTTGACATGAAGAATCAATAAACAGAAGTGTTCTTCATTTCAATATGGTGTGCTGGTGACATTTTAACAATTTTCAGTATTGGCGGCGCCATCCGCAGTCACTTCGAGCACCCACGCTGACAGGGATACCCGGAGAGGAGTGCAGCAGGATTCTGGAATACATGCAGGACCTGTGTCACCACCACACAGTACCCGTAATGTCCCATTGACATAATTGTTCCCTGAGTCAGTGCGGCTCATGCTGCCCAGAACCATTCCTAGACTTGTCACCATTTGTGGCATCCGTTCTGGTTTAGCTGCAAGTGCCACATTCTTAAAGAGTAAACCTGTGACAGAGATGGAAAACTCAGATATATCATTGTGATTTGCATTAAAGCTGTGCCAAATTTATTTTTATGTTCAATGGTCCTCATTCAGCAATCTGCAATGACACCTGAGCCGTGCGAAATACCTCTGAAGGTAGGCTGAAATGACATATAAGGTTGATTAAGAGACCACGTTAGCATGCTATTCCGGCTTGCTGTATAGTAGCCATTAGTCTTTCGCTTCTTATAAATATTATTACTATCTGATTGGATGACAATTGATCAGGTAACACTTTTCATACAAGTGTTGATTTTTGCATGCTGTGCTATACAAAATGAAATATCAAATCATGAAACATATATATGACTGTTGGAGAGGGTGTGATAATTATATCAATTTCCAAATGCTGGTGAAAGAAGCTGATTTTCTTTTTTTCGGATAGTATAACAAATCCTAGTGTAATTAAACCTTAGAATAGGGAGTGATTAAGGATGAGTGCTGAAGTGTCATTACAGACTTATGCACGTGTGGAAAAACCAGCTTGTAAATTCCCTGGCTATGCTTATACATAGCTGTGATAGCAGCCTAATACAGGCACGTTTCCCCATGTTCTGTCTTTCTAAAAACACAACTCCGCTATATGTATATGGCTGCAAATACTAACCTCCAATCCTAAATTGTCCCCTTGCAGTACCCATTAGTGCTGTATGATGTCATCAAATGACATCATACAGCCCTCTTCCTGTGAGCCTGAGGGTTCAGTGCAGTGCTGAAGGCTGCCACTTTTTGACATCCAGAAGCATTGCTAGTTCCAGGGCAGCCATATAATTGTAGTTGATGCTGCACTGGTTTGGTCTGCTCTAAAACTAAATTGGCTTCCAGGAGCTAAGTAATAGCAACCTCCAGCAATGGATGCCAGCCTTGGCTGTGACAGATGGTGGGCAACCTAAGAAGTCCCCATTAAATGAGTGGGGTCATATGAGGTAAAGGGAAAAAAATCTCCATCAAGATCCCAGCCAGACCTGGCACTGAGTCCCAGGATGAAGCATCTCCCACAGACAAAGCTTTTTTATTTGCCCTTTATTCCATTTATGTTTTATATTTGGGATTTTTTTTAGCATTACATGTACCTTGGTTTGTCCCCTGCCTGTCCCCTGTGAGATGGCTAATCACAGGTACCACCCAGTAAAACGAAAAACTGCAGGGGATTTTCTCTCTCAGGTCTACGTCCCTCCTGTCATTGTCCATCTAGCATTTTAATCATAGACCGCAGACCAATCACCCTACCAGCATAAAGCCTTTCCCTGCTGGAGACCTGCAGAATTTGTTCCTAGCCCTTCTTGCATCTGAGGGGTTAATTCTGCTGCTAAGGTGGCTTTAAAATCATCTTTGGTGGAAGCAAAGCGATCCGAGACGTGTAACGCTCTTGTCAGGCCAGTAATTGACGTTTTGATTTTTTGGGGGCTATTACCGTGGCATGTGTCTGCATCCTCCTGAGGCTAGAGTCTGCCCTGAAACTATTGAGATGATGCAGTCTTCTCAATGCTGTGGAAATTTGCACTGGATGACGAGGAGCTACACGTTGCTGGCATTCTAGGCTGTCACGTGACCATGTGGGATCCTTGCAGCATGCAACACTCACTAGGGCTGGAAATGGGGATTTGATGCAAAGCTCTAATTTCTTTTTTTCTATGTATTATTTTTTGTTCTTTTTGCCCCTGACTTAATGTGTGCCTTTAGCTTGCTCAGACAAGAAGCAGAACAAGACCCTGGTAGCTTCATGATGCCACCTGATTCCTCCTCTGTTTGGCTGTGTGTTTTTGTTTGGGAGAAGACCCTGGTGGATCTATAGCTCGCAGAGTTTTAAGGGATCGTTATTCAATGCACTTCTTGCTGGTAGTTCTGTCTGGCACACAGCTGACATGATCGCTCGCTCTCCCAGCCATTTGTACATAGCAAGGATCATCATGTCGAGTGCCTACCTCTGTTTTCTGCAGTCTCTCCTCCTCCAGTCACATCTCTCGCATTCTGCCATGTAGTACTGATCCTTCTGGCTATTTGTTTTTTTTTTTTTTTTTTAGTTTTGTTTTTTTACATTTAATTTTAGCATTATTTGATTTTAATTCTCTTGCTCATACTTGGCACCTGCAATGTTGTGTGATTAATTGGTGATCATGATGAACATGTATTCTCGAAGAGCAACTGCAGCCGTGATGACAAGGGGATGTAATAATGGTCGTTATGCTCGAAATTCTCCCAACAGTGACTGCATTATTGAAGAGAAGACTGTGGTCCTACAGAAAAAGGATAATGAAGGCTTTGGATTTGTTCTCCGAGGGGCAAAAGGTAAGTGGCTGTGCATGCCATTGTCAGGTAATGTGTATGTGTGTGTTGTGGTCTTTTTTTTAAATGTTTATGCCTAAAATTAAACAGGATTTATTCCTGATGCTCTCAGTTGCTAGACAACACAATTCTCCCTTGCTCCGCCACTCCTTGTGATTGTATCATGCTCGCATACTGCATTCCAAGTGGTCAGGGACACCTGATTAACACAATCAAGATGCAAAAACTTTTTGGGTAGAAGACTTGAACATCAAAGAGCTGTCTGGGAGTGGGTAACACAAACCCCAGGCGCCTCTTTCAATCCAAGGGTTAACAGCTTGCAGACGTTGCTTGGTCGACATACAAATATCTAATGCTTTGGTATTTTCTCTGTGCTTCTTACACAATGACACAGAGAGGAGGGAGCTGATAATACAGACCGCTTAGAGCAGGCATTCACAACTGGTGGAAGGCAACTAGAAGCCCCAGCCTCTCCTAAAGGCCTGCAATTTGAAGTTCAACAGCCTCATTGCTGAAGGTGTCCGTACCCAAGTGTATTCAGCTTTTAAATTAGTAGGTGCACCGTTTTGCACCTAATAACTGTGTGCAAGTTTCAGGACTTTCCTGGCAAGTTGCCTCTTGAGTTTTTATATCAGTATTGTCAACCTGCAAGCATGTGGCGCATCATTTAGCAGGATTTTCCCCCTAGAGCACAATGGCGGTTTGACATTTTAAAGAACATTTAAGGTCCTCCCTAAATTACTGCTGCATTCTGCATCTCTTTCAAAGCTTTCAGTCTTATTTAACAAGGTAGAGCAAAATGCACAGATTAGGTGCAAAGTAACGTAATCCACAGAACCAATTGGAAATCATTTGTTGTTGCTGATCTGTATGATTGACTGGTATGGGCTACTAAAGTATCGTTCCACGTTGCATTGCTATATGAAATAAGCCCATTAAAGCTTTATTTAATAACAAAATGCCAATGTATTGACAACCCATAACAACCAATCCCTGATTAGTTTCCTTAATCTAAATGCAAAAATCTGATGGAGGCAATACATTATTGGTTGCCATCGATACAACATCCTTGAAAATCATTCCAGAATCATGCTTTTGCTACTGGCTGCTGTCATGTAGAGTCCATGCCAGCACTGACAGGACCTTGGGGTTCTGGAATGTTGGGATTTAGGCCTTGCATGTCATTTAATGCAAATGTACATGGTTTGTGTGGTCTGATGATTTGCACTGCTGCTTTTTACTTCAGATTTTGCTTAGAAAATGATGCTGTCCTTACCTGGAATTTGAAAGATTTCAAAGTGTTTTGTTGAGGTTCACAAGGTTCACAATGTATTTCCACCAACTAGAATAGAGGGCCACTTTCACAAGGTTTTGTTGGGAACTGCATGTTTGTGGGGTGCTCTTCCAATGGTAAAATGTAAATATGGGGTCTCAAGCATAGTATTGGCACTTAGGGCCTAGTTCGATCATCCGGTATTTCATTGGTTAGTGATTTAAATGACTTGGCTGAACATACTTTAGATTCAAATGCAAGATTTGCAGTTTCAGTGGCTTGTACAGTTAAAAGTTTGTCATTCAGGCCTTCTCAATACATGGATATAGCAAAATGTCTGTACAGGGTACCCAGAGACATCAATTCGATTCAAAGCTTTCAGGTTCCAATTCTCTTTTCCAGGGCCTGCATGAATGTGATTGGTGACTGTGAGACAATTCAGACATTTCTCTGAAATGCATTGTAACATGGTGTTAAATATGTCATAGGATGGTCAGATATTCAGGCGCAACCCCAATGTCCTGTAATTGTTTTTTGCAACCATTTATTTTACAAGCAGTCTAAGATCACCCTTTATTACACCCAGAATAAATGTTAAGTGAAATAAAGGGGGATGACAAGGGAACATTCACACTAATCTCACATTAAACTATAGTGATCTTTTAGGGTTGCCAAACCTGTCTGATTTTTGTAATCACCATGAAATCGTCTTCCAGTCCAGTCAATCATCTACCATCTATGGCCAGGTTTAACTGCTTGCCGTCCACCCCATAAATAGACGGAAGTCAAGCTCCCTACAGCGGGGTGCCGTACGTAAATATACAGCTTTTTTTTCTGCTAGTGCGTGTGCCCCCTAGCACGTGCACGAGCAGAACACAGTAACAAGTGTAAGCAACCGGTAACAGCTGTTACAAAAAGTGTCTGGGTGGCTCGCTGGCTCTCTGCATTAAGATAAGAGGGAGATCAGCACTCTCCCACCTGCTGATCTCCTCTTCGATCTCTGAACGTGGAAGTGGTGTGTATTACATCACTTCCGCATTCAGCTGACATTTCTCCGGCTGCTATAGCCAGAGAAGAAGCTTGTTGAAGCAGATCTGTGCTTCATCAGCTTCTTTGGGGGGTCCCTAGGTGACATTAGGGGTCTTATCACCATTGCCTAGGCCACAATTACTACCAGCATCAAAAAGAATACAAGGTCAAGTTACTAAACCCAAACACATTTGGTGTATTAAAGGAGAACTATGAGGTGAGAGCTTTTCACTCACCTCATAGTTCTAGCCGACCTGTGACAATGAGACTGTCACAGGTCGGCTCAGTAGATCGGGAGGTGAGCAAACACATACCGGCATTCGCTCACCTCTCGATCCTGTCACGGCTCTCTGCCGTGAAAGGGGAGGGGCTGGATTCCCCCCTCCCCGCTCCGATCCGCCAGCGCTGACTGGCAGAGCCCGCTGTCAGTCACGCAGTTGGGCGGATCCCGGAACAATTGTCGGGATCCGCTTCAGCTGCGGCGTCTCAGTATACCGCGAGCTGTAGCTCGTGGTATACTGAGCCTAGGGTGACGGGAGGACGCTAGTTTGTGTCCTCCCGTTACCCTAAGGAGAACTATGGGGAAAAGCCCTAACCCCATAGTTCTCCTTTAATTACCATATGATGTTTACTTATTTTTAAGATCAAATTTCTTTTTGATTCATTGAACATTTTATCACATACTATAGATCAGTTACATTTACACATTTACTGCATGTTATCCTTCATTGCTATGTTCTCGATTTGTGGGGATTTTTGCCATGTAAAATACAGGTACTCTTGCATGGATTTTCATCCCTTAGAAGCACTCCAAGCAGTTGCAAAATGAACCCTTACAGTGGGGCTATCCCTGCACTGCAAGGGTTAACTGCTTGTTTTTATTTACGGTCTAAAACAAAGAAGTTAAACTCACCAGAACATCGATCCTGCTTGGCTGCTACACTAGTCCCTGCAGCTTCTTCCCCCCTCCACTCCCTGCAGTCTAAGGCCCCATTCACATGTAGCGACATACCTTTGCAGCGGCCGGGATAGCGCGACTTTCGGGGCGACGTTCCAGCGACGGTAGCTCGACCTTCTCCGTCGGGCTCCATAGAAAAAAGCAAAATCCGGCGAAAAAAGGGTCCTGTAGAAGCAACTTGCGACGAGCAACGCGCGACATGGAGCTAGGACAGCTCCATTGACTATCATTAGCCGGCAACTTCTCGCGATATCGCACGGCAAAAATGCACGATATCGCGGCGGAAATCGCGCGATAAGTCGCTACATGTGAATGGGGCCTAAGGATCCGGGAGTACACTGTATTGGACATGAGGATGCCTTGGGATATTCCACTGCCAGAGCAGAAGGAAAGAGAGGTGAGAGGTCTCTGCCGCAGGATCGAGTATAACTTTATTTTAGACCCTAAAGAAAAACGAGCAGTTAACCCTTGCCGTCCGGGGGTAGTCCCACTGCAAGGGTTAATTTTGTAACTGCCCGGAGTTATTTTTTAAAATTCCATAAATTTCTCACTAGGGATATTTGTGAGATTCTATGAAGTTGTCTCTTATGGAGGACAAGATGAGAGACAAGAGAGAGATGAAACAAGTTATTACAAATTGACAATACAGGAAAAACAAAGTCTTTCCAAATAGCTTTTTCATGAATCCACGCCTCTTTTTGATTGTCATGTATGTAATCTTTATGTTTTGATGAGAACATTTAAAATAACAGACACAGTTGAAATCGCTAAAACAGCTTTTGACCTCCTAAGGCTGAACTCTGGGCAACTAAAATACACAGAGGGGAATTTATCAAAACTGGAGCAGACAAAATCTGGAGCAGCTGCGCACAGGAAACCAATCAGCTTCTATCTTTCATTTTCAAAGCTTAACTGAACAAACTGAAGAGAGAAGCTGATTTTGTCTGCTCCAGTTTTGATAAATCCCGCCCCGGAGTTTTGATACATATAAGTTTTACCTGCCAAGAATTTATATTTCCGTCCATACATTTACCCAGCCCTGTTAGATGGCACAGCCAGGTTGCTGACCTGACTTTTTTCTGCTGCAGCTTGGTCACCACTCTGCCCCCAGCTTGTCATTGGACAGTGAAGGAGGAGCAGGATACTGATGAGTCATCCCTTTGCTCTCTCCACCTGTCAGAACCTTCCTTGTCAAGATTCTTGCATGTAGCACACCTAATTGGCTCCTAGTGCTGTACTTCCAATCTGAGCACTGCCGTACCAGAAATTACAGCATACTAATACGAGTCAAATTGAAATACTCGCACTAGCTGCATTTAAATATTATGTTTTAAGGAATGGATAGCTGTATTGATTGGTGTCTGTGTGTATCTGCCTGGAGTTCAGCTTTAAAAGGCACTCGCCTAGAATCAATATGTATATTTTTTTAGTATAAAAATCACATTCAGATTTTTTTCATTTTTATTTCATACGTTAACTGCAGTGCATGGCAACGTGCAAGCTTCAAAGCCTCTGGTGCAGTTTTTTGGGTCAGTAGTATTTTAATGATGTGAAATAATGCGACTCAGCAGGAACGCAGGACCTGTACATGAGCAGATGCCAGAGGGATGCGCGTACAGGTGTTGCTGATGTCTTCTAGGATCCAGCAGCCGTGCGCGGGTGGGAGGCGGGGAGGGGAGCACAGGCAGATTTATTATTGACTTTTCTAGAGCACGTCAATTGATCCCCCGGCCCAGCGTTTGC